CTTTACACAAATGATGTATGTATGGATTGTGATAAGAGTCGTATGAGCCCCTAATAAAACTATTAAAAAATAAATTAAAAAAAAGATGATTACTTAACATTATAATTCTTTATGTGGGAAAAAATGCCAAAAAACAATGTACTAAGTATAGAGTTTATACTCACTTGCTTATAGCAACTTTCAAATTGCACATCACAATTGTGGTACTTAATACCTTTATGTCAACTTGAAGATATATAAAAATGTAGGGGTGGTCTTCAACCTGTCAATCAGGTCACAACCTGATGGTGCTTCCTTGTGGATGTAGCCGTCTCATAAGGAGGGCCCTGGGAACCTCCCCTTCTCTCTCTGCCTTCACACTCCAGCTGGCTGACCCTGATTGCTGCTAGTGCTGTGCCATGAGATCCACAGGTTTTTGCACCCACTGTCCTGTGTTCTTCCTGCATTTTGTATCATTGTACGTGGCTTCGTGAGTTTGCAGATGGACTTCTGGAGTAGTATCGGATTAGTGGACTTGAATTGGACAGGGCTGGGATGTTTTCCTGATAGATAACTATTTCTTGATATAAAGCTTTTTCTTATGCATATATGAGTGTTTCTGGATTTATTTCTCTAGTCAAACCAGCCTAACACAGCAATCCATTAAAAGGGTCTTGAAGTCAATGAAGGGAGTTGTAAGACAAGGATTATTGTTAAATTAAAAATGTTTCATTTTTGTAAGTGCGCATGTGCATGCACATGTATGTGAATGTTATGTGCTGAATTATGATTTAAAATTCATTTCTTCTTATAAGGTTATAGTCATAAAAGTCTTAAAGTTACTGGCTTAGATTCATTAAGAAAAAAGTCTAGTACAGAACTCTCAAACGGAGATCTTCATTCAATAAGTCTTCTCTGAAGACAAGATCAGTGAGTAGAGAATCATCACAACTTATGAGAACTGACAGGTCTCTTTTCATAACTTTTGAGACCCAATATTATATGGAGAGAAGCCAATAATGAACATGTAGTAATAATAACTTGATATATTTTAATGTTAAAATACTTGATAGTGCATATTCGCTACCCAGTCTTTTGCCTGTACAAGTCTTACCTTCATGTCTCCTTTGGTAAGAAGAGCATTGATGTCTCCAGAAAGAAATGGCAGATCTCTCTCGATTCTGCAGTTCACTTAGTCTTTCTGCTAGCCCACCTCTGTTTAAATATAATGTATTAGGTTTGGTTAAAGTATAAACTTTGAGATAGCTGAGACATTTATATTTAGAATCACCCCTAACCAGAAGTAAATAGTAAAGAAAAATTATAACCTATTTGACATTATGTACTCTTCTAGAAGCCATATCCTCCTAGATAAATAGTTTTTATTTTCTTTTAACTTTTTTGGGGGTGGTGGGGGTGGGGTGGTGGAAGGGCGGGGGGCGGAGCTCAGTGTTCAATTCTCAAAATTATAGTCTACACTCAGATCACTCTAACTGTCTTCCCATTAGTTCTTAGTTCACATATTCAATGAACATTTATTATCTGCCACATGCTTTGCTCTTAGTCATACATGGAGGATTTCACAATCTATTTGGCAAATAAATCATAAAGCGGGTTCAGAGTTGTAGTCAAGAAATACAACTTGCCCAAACTATTGTTAGGTAGAATATTCAAATTAAGAACATTTGAATATACAGGATCATTGTTTTGGCAACAAAGAAAATTGAATAGTAAAAACATACTTTGAGAATAGTATTGCTCTAAGAAAACCATATGTATGGCAGAAAGATGATTCATAACAGTAACAGAAATAGACACTTGACAAGAGAACTCTCTGTCTACCTATGTTGACCAGAAAACCACTTATGCTAAGACAATACTGAAGTCCTTAACCTTCAAGTGTATATAGTAGCACCCATGTCTTGCAAGCTGCACCTTGAAATTTGGGGAGGGGAGTTTTGTGGGGAATAACTTTTACTTAGGAGAACGTGACTGGGATGTATCTCCAAATCACAAGCATGAAGGCCTCCCTCCACAAGTCTCGGCCTCCTAGACTCCTTAAAGTATGAATGTAGAGAATTTGTTCACATACACTCTCTCCTGGTTCTCAGTTTCCCACAAAGTATGAAGATCCTATTTCCAAGGTCACATTCACAATACAAGAATTAGAACATCAAAACATACTTTGGGGGTGGGGTGGGGTGGGGCTCTCAGTATGTCTTCTTTTCTCCAAGTTCTTGTTAATCTCTGGATCCCTTTTAAGCCACTACCAGTTATTGTCCTCTCACTTTTTCCTCCCTTCGAATCCAAGATTCTCAAAGGAGTGAGCTACCGAACTGTTTTCCCACTCCTCATGTCTCATATGTTCTTTGGGCCATTACAACAGGCAATTCAATCCATAAGAGTCACCTTTTGAGGAAGTTTCCCTGAGACTTCTATTTAAAATTCTCCTCTCTTCCACTAAAGTTTCCATAACAAGTATTCCCCAAATACCAATGCACTGAACTTTTATCAGTTCTCATCCTATTTAATTCCCTCGACACAGAGATATGATAGATTCTAAAACCTGCGATCTTGATGATCATGCCTATACTTTCTATTGAATCTATACTTTTTTTCACTTTGTAACGTGTTGTAACCTTTATTTTTGTGGCACTGCTTCCTAAAACTCCTCTTTTTAACTTCTCCTAGAGTTTTTGTTTTAATTTAAGAACGAATCTTTATTTCTATTAAACAAAATTGGAACACTTGTCCTAAATAATAAATTCCACGTTCTTTTCATGACCTACTTGGCCTGGTGGGATCCAAACCTTAACTAATAATCCAGCTTCACCATCTACCCTTCCTCCACCAAACTTGACATTCTGTGCTACTCCATACATACACCAATCTGATTGCTATGCATGACCCTTTGCTCTCTCTCTGCCCTGCTTCTTCCCATCTGTAATTGATGCCATGGCCTGCTTGTCGTCATACTTTTAAAAGTAATCTGAAGTAGTATATATTTATTTCTATTCCCTTCTTTGGACTCTAAGTTACTAGAAAAAAAGAACTGCAGTTTATTTTTCACTAGTGTCTAGAACACTGATATTCAATAAAATGAAGTAAACGAAAAAAAAATCTCAACTATGAAAAGCAAGTCATGCAAGTTTGTTAAGAATTAAAGAGTGAATGCCCAACTTAGACAAACAATTCCATAAATCATTTCCAGAAGTTAGGCTCTTGTTAATTACCTATTGGAATTACAATGTTATTCTGCCAATTTTCCCCAAGTAAACAAGTAATTTAATAATAACGTTTTAGTCATTTGGATTTTAGAGGAAGATGAAAAGAACTATAAAAGCATAATTTAACCTTATAGGCCTCTTCTTCTTTACGGAATCTTCCGGAGTCCTAGGAAATGTACTGATCTGTTTCTGGGGTGTACACAGCCTGGTCTCTGCAGATTTTACCCCACGCTCCGCCGTCCTCTCCATCATCTGTCTTCCATCTGAGCCAAAATCCACATGGTTTTTGTGAGGGGATTCTGAGTCAATAAACAGGACATCATCTGAGTCTTCTTCTTTCCCACTGTCTGATGAATACTCTAAAATTTCTGTAGAACTTATCTGGAAAAAAAAGAAAAAAATGTAGAATTCTTTATTCAAAGTACATATTTGCATTTTCCTATTATTCCATTGTCTTATGATTATGTTCATCAAAGCATTTCGAACACACTCATTTAGCTTTATATTTTGACACAAAAGCTAAAAGTAACAAAAATACAAGATTCAACATTTAAAACTGTGTACCCTATGAAAAAATATTTTAAAAAAAGATAAATCAATCCTAAGTTCAACATTGATGCATTTTAACTATGGTGCTGGCAAAGAATATTGAATACACCATGTACTACCAGAGGAAGAAACAAATCTGTCTTAGAAGCGCCTTAGAAGGGAGGACGGTGAGACTTCGTCTAACATACTTCATACATGTTATCAGGGTAGACCAGGCCCTGGAGAAAGACACCATGCTTGGTAAAGTAAAGGGTCAGCAAATAAGTAGGAAGACCTTCAACAAGATGGATTGACACAGTTGCTGCAACAAAGTTCAAAAAAATTTCAAAGATTATGAAGATGGTGAACAACCAGTGTTTTGTTCTATTGTGCACAAAGTAACTATGAGCCAGAACTAACTTGATGGCACCTAACAACAATGACAAGTCCTGAGTAATTATCTGTACCCCGAATTTCCGCCAGAGAGGAGTCTACTTTACTTTTGTCGAGGTTAATTAATATTTCTTAGGCAAGCTAGTGATTTTATATATATATATGTGTGTGTGTGTGTGTGTATTATATATATATATTTTTTTTGGTCTGGCTTTGGGCGGTGGCCTACACTGTAATTGGCTTATTTTATCAACCTTTTAGACATTGGTCAATCTACTTATGCAAATAAAGTAAATATATCCTATGCAAAGTATGTATCTATGGGCCACAGGAGGTTGGTCAATTCAGAGCCTGTGTGGGAGGGCTATGCTGTAAATTGATCAGCTGTTTGCTGACATGCAGGAAAATCCAGACTTTGCTAAGCAGAAGGAAGAAAGAAGACAGAGATTGAGAAAATAACCTCCTAGAAGAGCTATAACACTGAAGATGGCAAGAGATACAGGAGTCTTGCACAAGAACCATCAGTAAGTGGCTTGGAAGGAACCCTGCAACAGAGTCAGTAAAAAGATAAGCTACTGATTAAAAGAGTATTTTCAGCAACCATATACCCACCAAGGATCTACTAACATAAAACTTCAATAACTGAAGAACAAAAAAAGGCAAACAACCACTCATATAATAGACAAAGAGCTTAAATAAACATTTTACTAAAGAGGATAGTCAGGTGTCAACTACATTTACACAGAAGAACACTACCCTGTGTGATCCAAGGATTGTAAATAATAAAATCCAGATGCGTAGGAGAGAATGGTATCAGAGCTTAAATTGTAAACACCTGGTTTACAGAAGGTTATGAATGACAGCGAGAAGCAAAAATTCATTTGCAGGGTCCCTATGTAGATTAAGCCTCTGGTGAATTCCCTCTGAACATAACCCAGGGAGGTGAATAGCCCTGCCATCAGACAAAGGGCATTGAAAAGTGGAATATGACAGATACAGTTAGTTTACAATGTAGTACCTTATCATTTGATATCCCTTTTCATCATTTACATATTTTTCAGTTTTTAGTTTCTGATTTCTTTTCGCTTAAGGTTTTTCTGTGTTTTGTTTAGTCATTGTTGTCGGTTTGTTTTTTGTTTGATTTTGGTATGAATTTCTACATAGGAAATCTAGGACAGGTAGATCAATAGAGACAGTAACTGGATTGATAATTGCCTAGGTACATGGCTGGGAAGGATGCAGGGAAATGGGAGTTAGCAATGAGTATGAGAAGAAAAGGTTCTAAAATTGGTTGTTGTGATGATTGCACAAATCTTAATATGAATGAATGATTAGACTGTCTGATATGTGAGACATATGCCAATAAAACTACTTTAAAAATTTACAAATAAGGGAGATAGAAGATAGGGGAAAAATAAAAAGAAGACAATAAATGACCATAAGGAACATGAAAAGATGTTCAGTGTTGTAAACAGAAAGAAGCCAATCAAAACCACAGTGAGATACCATTTTAGGCTCACTGTGATGACTAACATTAAAAAAACAACAACAACAAAACAATCAAAGCCACAGAAAATAACAAATGTCCATGAGGCTATGGGGCATTGGAACCCTCATATATTGCTAGTCTAATGCAAAATGGAATTATTGGGGAAAAGAATAATTCTTCAAAAAACTAAAAACAGGATGATATATGACCTAGGAATTCCTAAGTACCTACCCCAAAGACTTGAAAGACTCAAACCCGTACATCAATGTCCACTGCACCACTGTTCACAATAGTCAAAGGCAGAAACAGCCTACATACCCATCAACAGATATAGGGATTAACAACATGGAGCTCATACACACAATGGAATACTACTCTGCCAGACGGAGAAATTAAGTCTTTATACATTCCATAATGGATGGAGCTTGTGGACATGATACTTGTCAAAATAAGGTTTAAAAAAAAAAGACACCAAAGCTTGTTAGTGTTTACTTGGGGTTGGAGAGAGAGGGAAAATGAGGACCATTGATGAAAAAAATCACACTGATTAACATTAGGGTTACACAGTTCAATATTTGCTAGGGTTACACAGTCCAATATTTTGCCAAAATATTGACAATTTTTGTCAATAGATTGTTCACTTAAAAAGTTGAATTGGCAAACATTGTGGAACCAACCGCTATTGTGATGGTTAGTGCTATGTGTCAGGTTGACTGGATTATGATTCACAGTGGTTTGACAGTCATCACATTGATTGCTCTTCATTTGTAATTTCTATTGTAATTTAATGTAATCACCATCACCACATGATCTAATATTATAGGCCAATCATTTGTAGGAATGCGGCAGGCCAAATAGATTTGGGAAACTATGGTCTGTGTGGGGAATTACGGATACGCACCTAGAGCACATGTTTCCAAATACATTTGGCTTAATGTTCCCTTTTCCAGGAAAAAAAATTCAGTGGCCCTGGAAGTTAAAAAAGTTTGTACTAGAGCCCACAATGCAGGATAAGGATAAGGACAGACATCTGCTTTTGCAGGCCTCCTTGGAGCCCTGACAGCATAGTGGTTACATGTTGGACTGTGGTCTGCAAGGTCAGCAGTTCATCAGTTGCTCTGAAGGAGATAGATGGGGCTTTCTAATCCTGTCAATAGTTGGAATCTTGGAAACTCAGGGATTGTTCTACTCTGTCCTATAGGGTTGCTATGAGTCAGCATCAAATCGATGGCAATGTTTCTTGAGTTCTGGATTATTTCAGCATCCCACAGGGGGCAGTATCATCCACTTTGGGAAACATTGTTCTAGAGGAACAAAATCATAAACACAGTTCTCTGAATTGGTTCCTGATAACTTTTAAAGACTGTGGTGGATCTGCCTCCAGTGGTAAAGCCAGCACTGAAAATTCCTGACACAATGAAGCAATAAAAACATGCATAAGAACACCATTAGTAGCTCAAATATTTGTGAGATGCAAAACTCTATAGGAGTGCATATTTGATATTTTTCTAAAATTCCATCAGAATAAAAAATATGAAGCTAGTTGGGTTTTTGTTATAAAAAGTAGTAATAATCTCAAAGCTTCAGTCACACATCAAACAACACACACACACAAACACACACACACAGCCATTGAGTCAACCCCTATTCACAATGACCCTGAAAGAGAGAGTAGAACTGCCCCCTGTGGGTTTCCGATACTGTAACTATTCACAGGAGTAGGAGCCTGTCTTTCTCTATAATGAGAGTGGCTGAATTACAACACCAGCTAAATTCCCAACCCTGGAATAGTGTCTGAAAATAAAGTGAGGGCTTCAATTGGGAAGAAATATGATACTGAAATGTCAGATGGAGCTACATGAGCAGATAATCAGGAAGTTCAGGACACTGAGCTCCTTAATATCACTGAATCACCCCTGCGAACGGAACTAGTCCTCTTAATCCAATCTAAGGTGACGTCTCCATAGTCTTCTGCTAAGCCACCTTTCCCAGTAAAGCTATTATCCCACCCATCCCTGTCTGATGAGATTAACCCAGTTGTGCATGAAGAGTCTTTGTCTAAGATATGATGTAGGGTGGCACCTGGAATATGGTTTAAAGCAGATGCCTTGCAAAAAACATTGCTGATTGTCCACGAGACCTACCCTATTCCTGTCACCCATTTATTTATTTTTTATTCTAGACCTCAACTACACTTAACTCCCAGTAAGCCCCAAGAAATGAAGTACAGAGGTGATTCCAGATGAGCTATACTATACTCCAAAAGAATTGCTTGCTTTTTCTTGTATGAATTAGCGTGCATGTATGAGTTCATGGAAAAATGCAGTTAAAAAATAAAAATTAAAACATAAACGTTATTTCTCAATATAAGCTTCCTCAAGGTCAAGACATTTTTGTAATAAGCAATGGTATCAGCCATTTCTACCAAACCAAACTCACTGCCATCTAATTGATGCTGACTCATAGCAACCATATAGGACAGGGTATAACTGCCCCTGTGGGTAGACTGTCACTCTTTATGGGAGTAGAAATCCCCATCTTTCTCCCAAGGAGTGGCTGGTGGTTTTGAACTGGTTAGCAGCTCAATATATGGAACCACTACACCACCAGGGCTCCTATCAGCCATTTAGTTCATCCATAAAGAACTGTTGGTACTTGGAATGTAACCATATCATTGGAGTCTTTTTTAACACCATCAATTAAGAAAGGGGGGTGGCTTTTAAAGAATTTTTAAGATTAATAAACAAAAAGCAGGAGGAAAAAGAGAACTGTAAGGTAGATGCCTAAAGGTTTCCCATTGACGCTCTAAGAAAATTACTCTTGTTTGATGGGAGGAATGGACAGGAGCATCGTGCTGATGGAGAATGACTCTCTGGAAAACTTTTCCTGGGAGTTTTTATGTTCAAGCTTTGGAGAACTTTCTCAAATCTTCTCATGATAAGCAACTGTTACCATTGTGTGACCTTCCAGA